TATTTTTTTTATTAAAATATAATACTAAAAAATAATATCAAATCATAACACTAAACAAAATCATCACCAATATATATATTAATGTTTTATATAATTTCTAATAAAAATATTTTAGTTTTTTTGTCAAAACGCAGGAAACCGCTACCAAAACGCAAGTTGGAAGCTGCGATTAGAAAACACAAGTTTGGTTGCGGTTGCGGTTGGTTGCGGTTCAACCAGTCAGTTTTTCAATCGTCCGCAACCGCCAGAAATCGCAACCGCTCCTTTTGCGGGTGGCAGCGGTGCAACCAGTCGCCCCCAGAGTCATTTGTGTTCTCATTAGTCCTTACCACCAGACCATCTCCAATGGGTCTCTTGATAATAAGTATTCAAGCATTTTAGTTTGATTTCTAAGTAGCTAAATTCTTAAAATTACTACTTTTTTTTATAAACTAATAATTACTACTTGTATTATATATATATATATATATATATATATGAACAACGAGTGCAGCTCATAACTTCAGTTTGCGGGTGTTGCATGTGGACGTGGATATACCTTTTTTTTTATTAATATAAATTTCATCATATCCGTGTAAATTCCACGAACTCCGTTTAAAAATTTATTTTTTGGTCTCCAAGAACAAGCAATTGAATCACGTTTAAAATAATGAACATACCGTATTAATCAATCATTTTAAATTCGAGTCAAGTGGGCAACTATATATGAGTGTGTTTGGTAGTGTTTTTGGGTGTAGGATCCGGACAACATAACACGTCTGTCTCGCAACATTTATATTAAACGTGTGTTTGTCTATGCAGCAAATTGGCATTCACAAAAAATCATATATGTATGTATGTATATATATATATATATATATACATATTTGAAGTGGATTAGAAACCGATACGAAGTATTTTTAGATCATGGACTGCATCACAAACGACGAAAGTTTGTAACTTTTGCTCGTCGATTGTGTAGGGAGTTTTTACATACTTATTTAATTTTGCAAATTGATTTGATATTGATAATCGAATTCTCGTTTGGTGGGGTTATGAATTATGATAGTAAACTATTCGTGAATCGAAAATTATACTACAGGAAACAGGAGAAGGAAACAAAAAGCAGTTACAAAACCAAAGCCCATCTAATAATCGGGCTTTGACCAAGTCTTCTATGGGCCCAAAGCCCACGACTTGTCTCGATTCTTCGTCGTTGATCCCCGAAACCGACCGCGGATGTTCCAGTTACTGCACTTTCCCCGTCCCCTCCCTCCCTTGTTCGTCGACAAAGTTCTTCGGCTCATCTTCATGTGGATTCACTTCGAGATTTCACCGGATTTTGTGGGTTTTCGTTTTCTGTTTCTGTTGCTCTGGATTCTTAGGGTTTATGTCGTTTTTTTCTGGGTCTGTCTTTGAATTTTCTGGGTTACTATGTATTGCATGATAATCTCACATAACATTGATTGATAAGCTTTGAACTGGCAGACTGTGGTCCAAGAGACTGGTGTTTTGATTCGGCTAATCGTTGAAATTCCTCTTGAGAATTGAACCCGTAGAAAATTTTGTACGGACTTTCTTAATTCTTAATATTTCTTCATCAAACGATTATTAATTTGGTATTTAGTTAAGATTTGAGATCGTGTATTAAAATTCGAGAAGATTGCGACAACTAACCGAAATCAGCGATGAGAGAGAGATGCCATGTATTTCTTCATGTATTGTTCATTGTGTTTCATTGCATCAGGTCACGTTTGAAAGATCTTTGACATGGCGTTTGACTTTTGAAACGATATCTTTCTCTCTGCTCGATGTGCGGTGCATATTGACTCTTTCCGTTTTTGGCCTTTGTCTAATCCAAAGTCAATAAAGCCGATCCCAAAGAAGAAGACAGTGCCATGACCAACTTCGCATGCATTATTTATAACAGCATTTGCATCTCTCTCTGTATATATATGAATCTTGTGATTAAGAAAGGCAAAAAAGTCAGAAACGAAAGCGACATGAACAATCATCAGAAATTTTTGGTGGGCAAGCCATGGCAGCGCAAGAGGACATGGAAAGCCAAACAACATAATCTCCGAAAGCGATCGTTGGTGTGTGTGTGTCATTGCATATTTAGAAATAAAATTTGAATACGGATTCAAAGGATCTGGTGCGTCCTTGTAATTGTAATTTCATGTTGAAACATTTAAGTAATGTACTTGATAACCCGGAGATGATAGCATCATTTATAACATTGTATAACTCAATTGATGACATGCTCATTTTCTTCCCACGTATAATTTGAAGTGCAGTCAATATATATAAACACCGAACTGAAACTCAAATTTAGAATATAACCTTCTATATTACTCGTGTAATTTGAAATGTATATATATTTTTTTATAACGGAGTACTGTAACTACTATCATTCGGATGCGCTAACTAGTTAAATTTTCGATCCGAGAATAACCATAGTAAAAAAACAAACTCATATTACTAATTAATGTAGTGGTAGATTCATTTTCTTTCATTAAGTGCATGATTTTCCCCCTTCAATCAATCCATTGATTGATATTAGAATAGAGCACTTAAGTCGGTAAATAATGAGGTGGATTCATTATAATAAATTAAATATCACATGATCGCAACTTTAGAACTTTGCTTTTATTTCAACAGTCCAAAAATCCCTTTTAGGGCAAAACCGTTGACTTTTGATTGGAAAGTGAGACAATGCTCGCTCGGCTCTTGCTGTGTTTCGCAGTGTGGATTCCACGACGCATCTGAAGGTTAGTGGTCAACCCCTCCATCCAATCAAGTGTCGCCACGTCCTCAAACGCATTTTAACTGTAATATGTATGTTTCCGTTTTTTTTTACGGCAATAATGTATTTTTCCATATGTTAAATATAAAAGCGAAACTTTCGTTTAGTTTAGTTTTGTGATGGATACGCATTTTGTTATAAACCGGAAACTAATGCCGAAAAGATCTATAAGTTCACTATTATATTATATATATATATATATATATATATATATATATTTTTTTTTTTGTAACCGAGGTTAGACTAATCCGGGACCGGAAACATGTTCAATACGTATTCATACGTCACGTTTATTTATATATAAAAGTATATGTTTAAATTACGGTGAGGACGTTTGGGGTTTATAAATAGAGGAGTAGAGGGGACATTCATATATAAGATTCGCGAAGAGAGAGAGAGAGAGAGAGAGAGAGAGAGATGGGTTCTGCGGCAATTCGGATGTGTGTATGCATCTTCTTCACATTTGCTATCATCTCTTCTGCTCGACTCACGCTTTCATTTTCTGGTATTTATCCTCCTTTTTTTTTAATTTGTTTTTCCATTTTCTTCCATGAATTAGAAACGATTAGAAGATAATAATATACTTTTCAAAATTACAAACGTAACAAATTTAATTAAACCACTTATCATTAATTCAATCGCCCTTGATGATTAATATGATATGATCATCTTACAACGTGCATATACATATATCCGAATGTCTATCGATTTCTTTAATAGTGTATACGCGTTTTACGTTTTGACTTTTTTTTTTTTCTCTTTTTGACTTCGTTCAAACCCTAAAGAGATGGTATCGTTAATTATTATCCCCATAGTCAAATCCATTTTTTTCCTCCGAAAATGAATTAACTGCGTCGACTAACTATAGCAACTTGTATTCGTTAGTTCCTTGAGTGTATATATATATATATATATATATATGTGTGTGTGTATATATATAGATAGAAATTGCATTCACACGTTTCGAGAGATCAACTTAATACGTGATGGTGGTCTGTCAGTGCATGGGCACGTCGAATCTTTCCATCAGAGGCTCATGTCTCAGTTCCCGAAACTAACGAATATGTCATTCATTGACGTATTACTATTAGTTGTAATTTATATATCAAATAATTATAGTTGCATTGAAGCTTTATTTGCAAAATATATCTCATATACCTTTATTTTTCAAGAATTATATTCGTGTTTTTTTCAAGTCAAACATGTACAAATATGTAAAGCCGTTTTTTTTTACAAAGCATAATGAGTTTTCAGAATACAAATATTGTTCCCGAAAAAAAGTTTAACTTGTAAATAAAATTCATTACATTTTTTATTTTTTAATAAACCCAACTTGGAACGCGAAGCTCGAGATTGTCTTCCTCGGCTCAGGACAGGTTCACACGGCCAAATCTTTTTTTATTTGTTTCCTCTTGTCAACATCTAAATCTATTTTTTTAATTAAAGCTTACTGCTACAGACAAATCATGTAATTAATACGTCAACTAATAAACTCTATAATATATATGATTAAAAATATTTAATTCCAAGTTTATGTTGTTCATATACTTTGATGAAGCGTTGACCATTGAGAACCAAACAAAAATTGTATCGATGTTATAAAGGAAACAAACGTATATATATGTTTTCTTTATATATATATATATATGTTTTTTTTTTGTTAACGTAGATATATATATATATATATATATATGTTTTTTTTTGTTAACGTAGATATATATATATATATATATATGTTAATAATAATGCATTGACAGAAAATGAAGAGGGGATGGTGAAAGGGAGGTCGCTCTTGTTGATCAGAACCAATGACTACGACGAGCCGTCGGCCAACGGCAGACACGATCCCCCAGGCAGGCGCGGTGGCGGCGGCCGAAGAGGTTGAGACAACAGTCTAAATATATATTTCATCACTTGAATAATTTTGTTTTAGTAATTTTCTTAACACAATTATACACACATATATATATATATTTATATTTATATAACAATGAGAGTTTTAAAAGCGGTATGTAATAAAAAAAGGTGATGTTCGGATTTATAGCACCTGGATCACGTGCTTTATTATCATAAGTCTTAAGATTTTGAACTAATGAATATAAAAATAATTTGAATTAGGATTTTCCGATTCAACGTGTATGCCAATAAAACCAAACTGACACTAATCATTATTTAGTGTATTGTAATAAATTCATCTGGTCCACAAGATGTGGATATTTCGAATTTTAGTTTGGATTGGTTTGATTATATTTAAATTCGCCTATTTCCGTTTTACTCATAAAATAAACATTTTATTTTTCAGATTATTTTTTATTTGATTCGTTTTTTTCTAAAAAAACATAACCAATTCGTTTTTTATATCAAATTCTTTTCATATTTATTAATCACTGCAGTTGATTCAATTATTCAGTTATTAACCACAAATTGTCGAACTCTATCCTCAATAACTTAGATTTTTTTTAATATGAAGAAAATATGAAATGGGGGTATGATAGAGGTGGATCACCGTCCAACAATCGATAAGTAATAAAATTGCTATGGGTTTTGTAACCACGTATTTGAATGTGGGCCCAAAAACTGGACGAGGCCCAACAGAAACTACAAATAACGTCCGTTTTAATTTGGGCCCCGTCGTGGTATCCCGTTATATATGTGTATATACATATGTATTATGACATCGCTTTCTAATTCTATTACTGTTTAATGTTCTGTTTTATTTATTTATTTTTATTGTTGTCCTCTTTATGGTATCTTAAAAACAAATAATTCTCACAACTGCATAATATTTGCATTTTAGATACCTTTTTTTTATTCTTTCGTTATTTCTCATTTCTTTATTTTATAAAAAACAGGAGTATTCAAATTGAAGTTTAAAACGTTGTGAGAGAATGGATCGATCACAACAAATAAATTCGCTCACTATATATTATTATACAATTATATAAACGCCGGCGCACGTTAAAACGACGTCATTTCGACACGTACCAAATCGAATCCAAACCCTTTCAATTTTTATGTATATATAAAAAGTAAAAAGTAATTTTTTTTTTGTATACAAATCTTGTGTCTACAGAGTACTTGGTTCTCGTTGGGGGTTTATGTTAAAGAATCTTTCAGAGGAAAATATACATAATATATTCAAATCGATTATATATAAATAATTGATTTACAAATTATATATACATATATATATATACACGGATTAATTCAAATCTATTATTTTCAGGGCAAGTTTTCAGAGAGCTGTGTGTGTCTTTGGATTTTATGCGCAGAGCACCTAATAGAGAAAAAAAGGTCTCCGTTTTATAAAGTTTTCGTATAAGTTAACAACGTAGGGATCTTATAGTCACGTGTTCTTGTCAGTAATCACACATGCACGTACGTATATTCCCCTGTTTACATACGTTTGTCGTCTTGCATACAACCGTATATATGTGCGTGATTTTGCGAATATTCTTCTTGAAAAGAGCCCGAGAAAGCGTAGTTATAATCAATGTTCGACATGCAATCACATATTATCAAAAAAAAAAAAACCTTGAATCAGAATATATAGAAACCACGATGATGTTCTTAGGGGAAAAAACATCGTATTAAATCTATGCATGTATATTAGCTGTATATGCTGCAACATAATATTAAAAACGGCGAAATATAGTAATGGGTGTATATGCATGTATATTAGCTGTAGATTATCTCAGTCGCATTTGCCAACCAATACAATAAAAAAACAAGTAATTATATGCATATATTCACACATACACACACACACACACATATATATATATATATATATATGTAACGGAGTAGTGGCATTTTAAAAAAAAAAGAAGTAAAACGGAGTAGTGGCATTGTCGTGGTACGGTTGGGTTTGTGATCTGATCCTCTCCACTTCGATCTCACTGTGTCTGAACCTGATGCGGTCTATGCAAACTGGGAAACCAAATAAACAATCACGTCGATGTCGGAAAAAATCTTCTCTTTTTTTATTAGTTTTGAATTCATCTTCTTTGGAGGAACCTTCCTGTAGATTCCATTCCGAAGATTTTTATTTTCGGGCAAAATTTATGTTATTTAGAAGAAATAAACTAATCAACAAAATGGGTCGTGATTAAATCTATACATATGGAGTTAGTGGCTGATGGTTAAAAGTAGTGGGAGGTTTCAAAACATTTGTTAGTGGTAAATGGCTCAAAACTATTAAAAAAAGATACATATAAATATACCTTATAAAAAAATTATAAATATATATAAGTTTTTTGTTATATAAATATTTGTAATATTAAAATATTTTATCCAGCCATAATATATATATATATATAATATTAAGACGTAATATATTATTATTGAGCTACTAACAACTAGATACAAGCTAACCATCGAACACGAGAAAAACACACATGGTAAAAGGATTTTACATGATTCTTCTCATTGAATATTATGTGTAGATCACGTGTATTAGGGGGAAAACCCCGAAACTATAAAAGGTTATCATTATCATCATAAAAATTTCACAGGAGACACTGAAGAACGTCATGTACGGAGCAACAGAGATTCTGACAGGAAGTGAGTTCGTCGAGCAGCTCGGTCTGTTAGGACAGAAGATGGGACTCGGTGGCGGTCCGATGGCTTCTTCGCCGTCTACGTTGGCACACTGAGTGACAATAAAATGTTCTTTTTAGAAAGTTGGTACCACATTTCTTCAGATGAAAGGTGATTTCTTTGTCAATATCGCTATATATATATATATAGCCTCACTTATCTTGCGGAGTTTAAGATAAAATATTTTTTTATTAAATCCAATATATATATATATATATATATATATATAATTATAGATGCTTTATAATATTATTATATATTTTAATTATTTAAAATTTTCACTAGAAATTATGTACATGTGTTCGGATTTCTCTCAAAAAATTACTTGAAGTGCAATAATTATGTCGAAAAAAATTCAGCACAAATGATTCATTTTCAACATTTGCAGGCTCTTATTTTCCCCAAAAGGAAGAAAAATTCTCTTGAATATATACATGTAAGTTTTGACAAAAAAAGAAAGAAAGAATATATACATGTAAGCTATGCGTATACATGATTACGGGGAACCAAATCATCACGACAAGATATTAATGGACCAACCAAAAAAAAAACATTTTTAGAAAGGCATGTTAATGTAATAGAAAAAAAGCAAAAAAAAAAACAAACACTAATCGTGGTTAAAAGACGGCGTCGTTTTGCATAACCGTACAGACAGAACTCATTAAAACGACGCGTTTTAAACGCTTTTTGTCGGCCACACGAACATCCCATCTCCTTTTGTTCAACACTTTCTTAGTATTTACACAACCTACCCTCCTTCCATTCATCCATCACCGTGGAATCACACATTTTGTTAGGCATTCATGATGTCGGACCAAAAGCTTTGTACGCCTCGTTTCACACAATTTATTTATATAAAGATTAATACTAATTTTATATTTGTATATCCATCGCAATTCAATTAAAATCGAGCTAATGTCTTCTATTTTAATCTCATTAGAATGTGATTAGTTAGTTAAAGCACCCTGGTGTTGAGAAATGCACATTCAAGACATTTATATCGTATGGTACCAAATTTATTTATTTTTATTAATACAATTAAGCAATTGTAGTCATATCCCCGTTATTTCATAATTATGTGGACTACAAGGGTTTACATATTTTTTTCATCACATTTTTGCCGATTTTATTTATTTATTTATTTATTTGTGTTGTTGTCCATATAAATAAAAAAAATATATACGGAGGAGTAAACGGCAGGTTTTGCGTGGTTTGTTTGTTATAAACTCCAATAGACCTAATAAATGCTCGGCGCATGACCTTTCACGCTTTCCGAAAATAACGCCTTTTAAAACATGGTCTCGTTAATGAATAATATGTCATTATCTAATTTAAAATAAAACATGCACATTCAAAACATATTTCTCTATTTATACATCTTATTTCAATAATTAATCTCCATTCCGCGGTATGTTGATATTAGAAAACAATCTTACCAAAATTGTCTGCAATGTATTAATAATGTGATATTAATTAATTAATTATAGGCAATTAATCTTTCACCCAATAAACTATTTTATAATTTCACTCTTAATACAAAAGGGGAATGCAAGTGAAAAGATGTGCTCCCGAAATTTTATATTAGTACGTAGAGAAAATGATATTTTTCTATATAAATTTAACAAAATGTGACCTTTTTATACATATATTTTTAATTTTACAAAAAACCACGCTTGAATTTAAAATTTTGATTAAGAGTTTAATTGAAAAAACAATATGTTAACTATATATATATATATATAGACAACATACATAACACACACACACACACATATGTGTATATAATATTGGGAAATGTGAATGCATATACATCTATAGGTATGTATATTTTGGACCGTTACGTACATAGAACTATGGTCCCCGTGTGTGTTTGTTTATATATGGTCCTCCTCCATCTCCATGTCCATACATTTGCCTCGGCCAAATTACAAGCATATCTACTTCAACTCTTTGCCTTTTTAATAAACACCATTCACTAAAAAAATAATGTTTTCACGTGAACATCATCATTAACTCCATTTCAGTTACTATTTTTTTTCTATTCATTTTCAGTTACTATATCTTTTTTTTTTCTTTCTAAAAGTCTTTTCGTGAGTACAGTACAGTCATTTCACGTCCACACTTCTCCTTCTATTATTATATATACAAAGCCATACTCCTAATTTGGAACCAAGTTGCAGAAACTCTCTCTCTCCCTCTCTCTCTCTCTCTCTCTCTGCGGCGGTGGAAATGGGCGGCGGGAAGCAAAACGACGGCGTATTCGACCCGAGTGCTCAGCCACCGTTCAAGATCGGAGACGTGAGGGCGGCGATTCCAAAGCATTGTTGGGAGAAGGACACGTGGCGGTCGATGAGCTACGTGGCCAGAGATGTTTGCTCCGTCGCGTTGTTGGCCGTCGCCGCCGTCTACGCCGGCAGCTGGCTCTTCTGGCCTCTCTATTGGGTTGCTCAAGGAACCCTCTTTTGGGCCATTTTCGTCCTCGGCCATGACTGGTAAATTTTTCTTTTCCCATTTTTACGTCATTTCATTTTTTTTAAAAAATAGAAATAAAAAAAATGTTTTTTTTTGTATTTGCT